TGATGTAACTATTTGTGTGTGGATCAGAAATATATTTGTTAAACTTTTTTACATTTATAAAATGATACGTTTTTGCGTGTGCATTGAAAAATATGTGTATGGATGAAGAGTTACATTTGTGTATCCTTCTGTGTGCATTTATTTATTTTTGGGACTGATCTGACCCCATACACCCTGCGCCATGATGTTTGACTGATATGTTTCCTGTGTTTACCCAGCACTGTGATTAAATACCAAATATCTTATTTTCTGCAATATTCCACATTTCAACAGAAATATTCCAGTGTTTTTATCCAGGGAGCGCTGCTGCTACGTATCATCTGAATAAATCATCACTGCACCAGAATATACTGCTTACTCTTTTATGATATTATTTATCTTAATGTTAAAAATAAATGTTGTATGAACTTGAATGCGTATTGGAGTTTAGCATATTAGTTGATGTGTATTTGTGTAATGAGGGAGGGTGTGGCCTAAGGAGATCAACACCCTATATCAAGGTGTGCAGAATTATTAGGCAGCTTCTTTTCCTCAGTCAAAATGGGCCAAAAAAGAGATTTAACTGACTTTTGAAAAGTCTTTCAGAGGGATGCAGCTCTTGAAATTACTAAGATATTAGTCTGATCACAGAACCATCAAACCTTTTGTTGCAAATAGTCAACAGGGTCACAAGAAACGTGTTGAGACAAAAAGACGCAAATAAACTGCCAAAGATCTGAGAAGAATTAAACGTGAAGCCACCAGGAAGCCATTATCCTCCAGTGCCGTCATATTCCAGAACTGTGACCTACCTGGAGGGCCCAGAAGTCTCAGGTGTTCAGAGGCATGGCCAAGGGTTGGAAGGCTGAAACCACCACTGAACAAGACACATGAGTTCAAACGTCAAGACTGGGCCAAGAAACATCTGAAGGTTTTCTGGACTGATGAGATGAGGGTGACTCTTGACGGACCAGATGGATGGGCCCGTGGCTGGATCAGTACCAGGCCCAGAGCTCCACTTCAACTCTGACACCAGCGAGGTGGAGGTGGGGTTCTGGTATGGGCTGGTATTATTAAGGAGGAGCTAGTTGGACCTTTTTGGGTTGAAGATGGACTCAAAATCAACTCCCAAACCTGCTGCCAGTTTTTACAAGACACTTTCTTCCATCATTGGTACAGGAAACAGTCTGCATCTTTCAGGAAGACCATGATTTTCTGAAGGACAATGCTCCATCGCATGCTTCAAAGTACTCCACTGTGTGGTTAACCAGTAAAGGCCTTAAAGAGGAACGAATAATGACATGGCCCCCTTCCTCACCTGACCTAAACCCTTCCTCACCTGACCTAAACCCTTCCTCACCTGACCTACACCCTTCCTCACCTGACCTTAACCCTCCTCCACCCTGACCTAAACCCTTCCTCACCTGACCTCTAAACCCTTCCTCACCTGACCTAAACCCTTCCTCACCTGACCTATAAACCCCTTCCTCACCTGACCTAAACCCTTCCTCACCTGACCTAAACCCTTCCTCACCTGACCTAAACCCTTCCTCACCTGACCCTAAACCCTTCCTCACCTGACCTTAACCCTTCCTCACCTGACCTAAACCCTTCCTAATCTGACCTAAACCCTTCCTCACCTGACCTAAACCCTTCCTCACCTGACCTAAACCCTTCCTCACCTGACCTTAACCCTTCCTCACCTGACCTAAACCCCTTCCTCACCTGACCCTAAACCCTTCCTCACCTGACCTAAACCCTTCCTCACCTGACCTAAACCCTTCCTCACCTGACCTACCCGTTCCTCACCGTGACCTTAACCCTTCCTCACCTGACCTTAAACCCTTCCTCACTGACCTAAAACCCTTCCTCACCTGACCCTAACCCTTCCTCACCTGACCTAAACCCTTCCTCACCTGACCTAAACCCTTCCTCACCTACCACCCTTCCTACTGACCTAAACCCTTCCTCACCTGACCAAACCCTTCCTCAGCCTGACCAAACCCTTCCTCACTGACCAAACCTTCCTCACCTGACTAAACCCTTTCCTCACCTGACCTAAACCCTTCCTCACCTGACCTAACCCTTCCTCACCTGACCCAAACCCTTCCTCACCTGACCCAAACCCTTCCTCACCTGACCTAAACCCTTCCTCACCTGACCTAAACCCTTCCTCACCGGACCTAAACCCTTTCCTCACCTGACCTAAACCCGTCCTCACCTGACCTAAACCCTTCCTCACCTGACCTTAACCCTTCCTCACCTTAAACCCTTCCTCACCTGACCTTAACCCTTCCTCACTTGACCTAAACCCTTCCTCACCTGACCCAAACCCTTCCTCACCTGACCTAAACCCTTCCTCACTTGACCTAAACCCTTCCTCACCTGACCCAAACCCTTCCTCACCTGACCTAACCCTTCCTCACCTGACCTAAACCCTTCCTCACCTGACCTAAACCCTTCCTCACCTGACCTAAACCCTTCCTCACCTGACCCAAACCCTTCCTCACCTGACCTAAACCCTTCCTCACCTGACCCTAAACCCTTCCTCACCTGACCTTAACCCTTCCTCACCTTGACCTTAACCCTTCCTCACCTGACCTTAACCCTTCCTCACCTGACCCAAACCCTTCCTCACCTGACCCAAACCCTTCCTCACCTGACCCTAACCCTTCCTCACCTGACCTTAACCCTTCCTCACCTGACCCAAACCCTTCCTCACCTGACCCAAACCCTTCCTCACCTGACCTTAACCCTTCCTCACCTGACCTTAACCCTTCCTCACCTGACCTAAACCCTTCCTCACCTGACCTTAACCCTTCCTCACCTGACCTAAACCCTTCCTCACCTGACCTAAACCCTTCCTCACCTGACCTTAACCCTTCCTCACCTGACCTAAACCCTTCCTCACCTGACCTAAACCCTTCCTCACCTGACCTAAACCCTTCCTCACCTGACCTAAACCCTTACTCACCTGACCTTAACCCTTCCTCACCTGACCTTAACCCTTCCTCACCTTAACCCTTCCTCACCTGACCTTAACCCTTCCTCACCTTAACCTAAACCCTTCCTCACCTGACCTTAACCCTTCCTCACCTGACCTTAACCCTTCCTCACCTGACCTAAACCCTTCCTCACCTGACCTAAACCCTTCTTCACCTGACCTTAACCCTTCCTCACCTTAACCTAAACCCTTCCTCACCTGACCTAAACCCTTCCTCATCTGTCCTAAACCCTTCCTCACCTGACCTTAACCCTCACCTGACCTAAACCCTTCCTCACCTGACCTAAACCCTTCCTCACCTGACCTAAACCCTTCCTAATCTGACCTAAACCCTTCCTCACCTGACCTAAACCCTTCCTCACCTTAACCCTTCCTCACCTGACCTTAACCCTTCCTCACCTTAACCTAAACCCTTCCTCACCTGACCTTAACCCTTCCTCACCTGACCTAAACCCTTCCTCACCTGACCTAAACCCTTCCTCACCTGTCCTAAACCCTTCCTCACCTGACCTAAACCCTTCCTCACCTGACCTAAACCCTTCCTCACCTGACCTAAACCCTTCCTCACCTGACCTAAACCCTTAATCACCTGACCTAAACCCTTCCTCACCTGACCTAAACCTTCCTCACCTGACCTAAACCCTTCCTCACCTGACCTAAACCCTTCCTCACCTGACCTAAACCCTTCCTCACCTGACCTAAACCCTTCCTCACCTGACCTAAACCCTTAATCACCTGACCTAAACCCTTCCTCACCTGACCTAAACCCTTCCTCACCTGACCTAAACCCTTCCTCACCTGACCTAAACCCTTCCTCACCTTAACCCTTCCTCACCTGACCTTAACCCTTCCTCACCTTAACCCTTCCTCACCTTAACCCTTCCTCACCTGACCTAAACCCTTCCTCACCTGACCTAAACCCTTAATCACCTGACCTAAACCCTTCCTCACCTGACCTTAACCCTTCCTCACCTTAACCCTTCCTCACCTTAACCTAAACCCTTTCTCACCTGACCTTAACCCTTCCTCACCTGACCTAAACCCTTCCTCACCTGACCCCAAACCCTTCCTCACCTGACCTAAACCCTTCCTCACCTGACCCAAACCCTTCCTCACCTGACCCAAACCCTTCCTCACCTGACCTAAACCCTTCCTCACCTGACCTAAACCCTTCCTCACCTGACCTAAACCCTTCCTCACCTGACCTAAACCCTTCCTCACCTGACCTAAACTCTTCCTCACCTGACCTAAACCCTTCCTCACCTGACCTTAACCCTTCCTCACCTGACCTAAACCCTTCCTCACCTGACCTTAACCTTTCCTCACCTGACCTAAACCATTCCTCACCTGACCTTAACCCTTCCTCACCTGACCTAAACCCTTCCTCACCTGACCTAAACTCTTCCTCACCTGACCTAAACTCTATAGAGAACTTGTGGGCCCTTCTTAAAGGGAGATTTACGGTGAAGGAAACAACTCTCTGAACAGAGTCTGGGAGGCTGTGGTTGCTGCTGTAACAAAAGGTGATGGTCAACAGATCCAGAAACTGACAGACTCCATGAATAGAAGGCTTGTGACTGTTATTGAAAAGAAGGGTGGCTATATTGTTTTTTTAAATGACAGAAAAGTAGAACAGTTGTTTGTTTACTGTTCTCACTTAAACTAAATATGTGAGATGGGAACATCTTAGTTGTTCCTTTAGTTGCATAATAAGTCTGCACACTAATAGTTGCCCAATAATTCTGCACACACAGATATTCTCCCAAGAAAGCCAAAACCTCACTTTTACTTTCCTATATATTCAGGTTTGAGGTTTATTAACATTTTGGATTGACCGAGAGCACTGTAGTTGTTCAATAATAAAATGAATCCTCAAAAATGCAACCACACAGTGGAGTGTATCCTGCTTGTCTTAGTAAACACACTTGCTTATATTAGAGTGCTTGCTTTCACTAGCACCAACACATCTCAGAACTTCTTCTGAAAATATAATGATGTGTGCGAGTGGCTCTCTTACCAGCTGCTCGATGCGGTCATACAGGAGGAACTGTGAAAAGTGGGTAGGGAGCTGCTGCACTGTGAAGCTGCAGCGTCCGTCCTGCAGGGCCACCAGCTGGGACAGGCAGCGGCTGAAGTGGTTGTAGGCATCACAGGACACGTCCATGTGTCTCAGAGTGAAGTTCATCCTTGTGAGACATCCAGGCAAAACAGAATTACTGCTTGAGCTTGTAACTTGGTCCCTGGTTTCCCTCTAGGGGTTCTGGATATCCTGTTACCATATACAATAGGTGTGTAATACAGTGCAGTGAGTAGAGTTATGCTTAGACCTGCAGGTGAAGTTAAACTTTAAAACAGTTATAACCACAAACTGTAAGTTATTACTCAGAGTAAAGTCCAATACCTGTAAGGCTAATTTATGCTCTATAAAAACGTGGTTGGAAACTACACGTCATACAAAACGTTCTAGGATCAAACAGACACCTCGGGTACAGCTGCTGTGCGGAATAAAGCACACAGCTTCCCCCCGGTCTGAAACTGCACATTCAACTGTATCTGAGTTTTTTCTTCCCGTTGATAAAAGTGAGTATCAATTCAATTAAATGGATCTAGAAATCCACAGGCAGTTGTAGACAACGTACTCACCATGCAGAACATTAGTTTTGATGTTCCAAAGCTATGTCTAGCAGATCCATGCTCTGAGACTCTGCTCACCTTTTCTCTATGGAGATGAAGACGGAGCAGCTGTGAGAGAAGCTGCTGCAGAGCCGGTACAGGGTCCGGAACAGACCGTCTGTCAGCTCATCGTCATAGATAACTGATACAAGAAAACATCAATAATAATCATTTATTTAATTCTCATTTAAATAATAATGCTTTGAAATGACATCTTGGAGCAAATAAAAAGTGGCCAAAGAAAAATGGTAGACCAATGATCCATGATCAGGCCAATATATAAAGTGAATATGTTACATCAAAAGTGTCTTTGAGCACTGCTGAAAGCATTTCATAAATGCCATGCATTACTGTTATTATCATTAGCTACAGCAGCCTGTGACTCATGAGCACATGGCCCCACTGTTGCAGTGCTGATAGAAGCCTTTTGTTATTACTTACTAATCATTCACACTAGTAAGGTGACCCCGGACAATTGTGTGTTTCAACTGCAGCACATACACGTGGAAAATGCTCAAAGGCAAGATCAAGCATCACTCCTTCTTTACACATCACTTCCTGTCAAGGCTATAGAATGATTGGAAGACGTCTTAAATAAATCAAAGTGCTTCTTAACTGTTGCATTTGCATGGTTATGTCTCATTAAATGAAGCACGGTGCAGTGGGTTGTTCTACCTATGCTAACTGTGACCAGCTCAATAACCCACCATCAGCAGCAATGATGATCTCAGTGTTGTTGTACATGTCTTCTACTTCCTCCTCTGTCCAGCTAAACTCCACGTCTGCATCTACAAACATTCCACAGATGATAGAGAGACATTTCCATGGTCAGAGAGAGGGGTGTCTTCTATACAAAATAAGGTGTAAAGGTTGGTAGGCTGTACTTGTTTCAATGTTCCAGGTACATTTGTATTGTGTACATGTAATGACAACATTGCACATTATCTGCTGCTGAACAAACAGTCAGTGTCAGACACACAACTCTTTAGTTGCATACATTCATTGTTGGTTGATAGTAAATATAAACACTTTCACAGCCATGACTATGGACAGTATGTCATATGTTGCAAGTCGTCAGAGAATAATGATTGGATTAGTGTTCCTATGTTTACATCAATCATCATTTCTGAGTTAATGATGGTCATTCATTCTCTATAGTCTGCAGTTAGTGGTACAGGCTAAACAAAACGTACAGTGATTGTGTATGCATTATGTGTCCGTTACTTCATCATTAATATCTGTGGCCCTTCAAACTAAGTGTTGCTCTGCTCCTTCCGTTTCTGATACATATACAGTGGAGGAAATAATTATTTGATCCCTTGCAGATTTTGTATATTGGCCCACTTACAAAGAAAAGAACAGTCTATATACTTTTAATGGTAGGTTTATACTAACAGTGAGAGTAAGAATATCAGAAAGAAAATCCAGAAATGGACATTATATGAAAGATACAAATTGATTTGCATTTAACTGTGAAATAAGTATTTGATCCCCTTGCAGAACATGTGTTAGTACTTGATGGAGAAACCCTTGTTGGACACACAGAGGTCAGACACTTCTTGTAGCTGGTCTCCAGGTCTGTGCACAACTCAGGAAGGATGTTGGTCCACTCCTCTCTGAAGACCCTCTCCAAATCCTGCAGGTTTTGAGGCTGATGCTTGGCCTCTGGAAGCTTCAGCTCCCTCCACAGATGTTCTATGGGATTAAGGTCCGGAGACTGGCTAGGCCCCTCCATCACCTCAATGTGCTTCTTCTTTAGCCTCTCCTGTGTTGTCTTGGCCGTATGTTCAGGGTCATTGTCCTGCTGGAAGACCCCTCCATGACCCATTTTCAGTGTCCTGGCTGAGGGAAGGAGGCTATCGGCCAAGATGTTACGGTGCATGGCCCCGTACATCCTCTCCTCGGTGCAGGGAAGCCGTCCTGTCCCCTGAGCAGAGAAACACCCCCAAAGCAGAATGTTTCCACCTCCATGCCTGACGGTGGGGGGGGATGGTGTTCTGGGGTTATAGTCAGCATTTCTCTTCCTCCAAACACGGCGTGTCGAGTTGCTGCCAAAGATCTCGATGTTGGTCTCATCTGATCTCATCACCTTCTCCCAAGCCTTCTCTGAATCATTCAGATGTTCATTGTCAAGCTTCAGACGGCCTTTCATGTTCTTCTTGAGCAGGGGGAGGGGGGGGCCTTCAGGCGCTGCAGAATTTGATCCATTATGGTGTAGTGCAGGCATCCTCAAAGTCCGGACTCCGGTCCGGATCCGGACCAAACCACAACTGTCTCTGGACTCTGAGCAAATGATACTTTTCATATGTATTATCTGTATTATCTGTGTTATCTGCGAGACATCGCCACAACGCAACCAGTCAAAATTCTCCGCTATGTCTACTGCATACAGCGCTCTGCATGTCAGACTGTTCCACTGTCTGTGTATGTCTGACAACGCTTTGGTCCAATCACATTCAGCATCCAGTCAGCGTTTTTCCCCCCACCAACAGTCTGCGAATCAGAGGCACAGTAGGGCGGGTCTTCGCGGAATGCGGGTGGGAAAAATGCGTGTGTGTTTAAAAAAGAAAGTCAGAGCGAGAGTTAACAGCTCATCTAGTTGCATCTGTACTGTAGCTAGTAGCCTAGTTTCACCTACCGGGGTGGCAACTGTCATCATACTACTTCCCTGATGGCTCCCACAGGATTGTTGACATCCTCGTGGATTCCTCTTCTTATTATAGACACATGCATTTCCAAACATTTGGTCTACCTATGTTGTAAAATGTATTATCTCTTTGATTTACACACGGCATCTATTGCACGTCTGTCCGTCCTGGGAGAGGGATCCCTCCTCTGTTGCTCTCCCTGAGGTTTCTCCCATGTTCCCCTTTAAACTGGGGTTTTCTCTGGAAGTGTTTCCTTGTACGATGTGAGGGTCTAAGGACAGAGGGTGTCGTATTGTCACTGATATTCTGTACAAACTGTGAAGTCCACTGAGACAAATGTAACATTTGTGATATTGGGCTATATAAATAAACATTGATTGATTGATTGATTGATTGATTGATTGATTGATTGATTGATTAAATGCAAATCAATTTTTATCTTTTATATAATGTCAATTTCCGGATTTTCTTTTTGATATTCTTACTCTCACTGTTAAAATAAACCTACCATTAAAATGAAAGACTGTTCATTTATTTGTAAGTGGGTGAACTTACAAAATCGGCAGGGGATCAAATACTTATTTCCTCCACCGTACATGTATGAAGCATAACTAGAGAAGGCTTGTAAAACTGTACTAACGATACAAAAATTCGATACACAGGATATTTTTTGCAAATTCAAAGAATTTTGCAGTTTGTTAGTTTTCTGGAAATCCTACTACTGGGTTCATTTGGAGGGAGATATCTGTCCATAGATGGAGTGGGTCTCTAACACGGGAGAGAGTCAACGAGAGCTAGTTTCATTTAGGACTTCTATTCACTCAAGAAGAAATGTAATCTGTAGTTGACTACAGTGTGCCATGCAAATACTGTCCTTGCTCTGTGTCTTTGGTGATATGATTCATTATTTGAAGCATGCCATTGTCATGTAGTTAATGTTTAAATTCCTTCCTTAAAAAAAGACATGGGATATGATATCTTTGTTGGCTGTGAGGAATGACCAGATGACCAGTAGGAAATGCTTTTGTGTGGTGTGGTGAGGTGTATGGTGTGTGTGTGTGTGTGTGTGTGTGTGTGTGTGTGTGTGTGTGTGTGTGTGTGTGTGTGTGTGTGTGTGTGTGTGTGTGTTACCTGTACAAAGGTCATGCTGAAGCCAGTCCAGCTGTCTCACTCTCACATCACCACCTGATTGTCAGAGAAGTTAAAGTCATAATGTTTTTGTGTGAGGATATAATTATCTTTCATAAGATGAAAATAATATATATATTAATAAAATAAATAATACAATTAAGCAATGACTTAATTATTATGCCTATACAAGCATACATATATACCTTAAGCAGTGGCGAGCCGTCAGGGCTTATATATTTGAAAACATTAATATTTTAAATATTTGTTTAGTTATATTTTTCATTAGTTTTACCAAAATAACTTGATTTAAAATTGTATTTAAAATAACATTTCCAAAGAAATAAATCCTTCGAATCTGCCTATTCAGTTTCTGTTCAGAGGGCCTAGGTATAAAAGTCACGGCTCGCCACTGACCTTAAGTAAGTACATACTATCTAAGTTACTATCTTTTGTGTAAGTCAGCCCTTTTGTACCCTTTTATTTGGGAGCATGTTATAGCAGAGGTTCCCACAGTGCTCTCTCCACTACGTGCACAAGGACAGCTACCATGGTTTAGATGGGAGTTCTCACCTGCAGCCTCCATCAGGTGTCTGTTTAATGTTACATTTGTCTTGCACATGCTTAGAAGGTCCTCTCCCACATCTGTAAAACAACATGTGGTATTTCAGCCATGAAACAGTCAAGACATGAGACACAGGTTTTAAAGGTCAACTTCAGAATAGCTTTGCTCGGTCATACAGTATTAATCCAGCTGCCTGCTGCGCTCACTGACTTGTGTCGACTGCACAGAGCAAAGTCTTTCTTTTTTTACTTCCCTACACCACTCTTTGACTTCCAATCCTTTCCTTTGTTTTCGTTATTTGAACATGCCCCAAAATAGTAATGTATAGATATGTGGCATGATTTAATCAGTTTGAGAAAGGCTGATATGGGATGTAATACAGCCATTATTTTAAAATATGAATAACAAATGAGTCACAGTGGAATGTTCTTATATAAATATGATCAAAAACACAAGTATAGAGTTTGTCTTGACTGACTGAACTGAAGTATGGAGGGAGGAGTGTGTGCTGAGATCAGTGTGTCAGCACAGAGCTGTAATCTAACAGATACTGTATGAATGAGACGCAGTAGAGGAAACACTAAGAGGAGCTCAGACTACTCGGAGCTCAGATTAAGATGAGTAAAGATATTCTTACGTCAGTTTTCAGTGTTGAGCTTTTTTAAATGATTTGTGCCTGATGAAAAATACCTGTGCAGAATGTTGTTTTGCAGATGGTTGCCATGACGATGCTGGTGAGGCCTGTTCCCGCTCCCAGCTCCAGGACTGTGGCTCCTCTGAACATGTCAGGGCTGGAGAGAATGAAGTCCGCCAAGAGGAAGGCCCCCCGCCACACCTTCAGAAACATATTATGTATATATGCATATATATATATATATGCATATATATATATATATATATATATGCATATATATATATATATGCATATATATATATATATATATATATATATATATATATATATAGATTTATAGATTTCAGAATCAAACAAGTATCAGAGCACTCTCATAATAACGTAACACTATCAGAGACTGGATTTTTTTTTTTATATATATATATATATATATATATATCGTACATTTCCCCTTTGTGGGACAAAAAAAGGATTTCTGATTGTGATTAACCGCTACAGTTCAAAATGTATCCTGAAGACTCCGTCACACAGGAGGTGCACAGGAAGCAGCACAGTGAGGTCATCACAGGCTCAGCACCACTCAGTGCCTACACTTCAGCCACATGTTCTGCCAACCATGCTTTATGTAACATTTGTGTGAGAAGTGAACAGAAGCACAAATCATTTGAGTTTCAATGGAAGCATTTAAAGATCACAGCAATTCACTTCCTGACACACTTCAACACTGAAAAACTGTGAAATAAGGAAAAGATAACCCTTTAACTACGATGGGGGGGGGGGCAGATTGGTTTGATTACTCACCTGTTTGCCTACATCCTCCAGGGTTGTGGCCATGGTGTGTTCTGTAAAAAATATTCAATTCATATGTTAAACACTACTTATTTATTATAAACTTAACACAAAAAGTAAGGAAATCTGTGTTTGGTAGCTTATTTCTGAGTGGGTTGCGCCCATGAAAAATGGGACAAATTTCCTCTGCCAATGCCAAACAGCTTTTTTTTCTGTCGACTCTTGTTTGGTATTGTTTGGTGGATTGGATGATTGAAGTCTGATTAATCAAGACATATTAGCAACAATTTATTTATGAACAATGTATTAATTTAACAAGGAGCCTCAGTAGCGTGTGGAAGAACCAAACACAGCCACAACAGCCTCTCCTCCTCATGCTGGTCACAAATGTGGCACCACTTGAAATGTAAATAAACAGGCTTTGCAACGTTATAAGATTTATTGTCAAGAAGCAATGTTACAACAAAGAAATAATCTACCAAACACAGATTTTCTTACTTTTGGTGTTAAGTATATATAGTGCACTATTTAACCCTTTGAATTATAGGCGAGACAGGCCACACATCAGGGGATTTCCCCGTCGGAAATAGTGTAAATCAGGGATGGGCAAATGGCGGCCCGGGGGCGTACATGATTTTGTTCGCCAGCCAAATACCGCGAAATAATCTGTGACGCGTTTGTGTGTATTGTGTTTGTTTCCCGGGAAACACTCACAAGAAACACCGGCTGTTGTTATGCCTGCTGTGACGTTAAGTTACCGCTTGTAATTATGCCTTTACAAGCTTCAAAGTTGCATTTATCATCTGAATTTGGCGAAAACAAGTTTAATATTCTAAAAACCAAGACTTTGTTAATTTGAAATCAGATGAAAACAAACTGTCACGGACCCTGCCGTGTTATCTATGATTACTATACGCTTTTCATTCATAATTTCAGCGGGAGGGAGGGGGAGCGGCGCTGAGGAACAGCAGAGTGTGCGGGGTTGACAGGTGTCTGTGTTGACATTCCCCTTATTGTGCGTCAGCAGAGACAGGCTACAAGTGTCTTAGGTTCAAGTTAGACAACTAATGTCTGGGTTAGTGTTCATGACTTCATGTTTATGTCATCTTAATGGTTAATTTTAATGCACACACATTTTCCGTGCTTTCCAATAGTTTAAAATAGTTTTATTCCACTGTTAAATAACCTGTTCAATACAAACATGCCACTTGTAAAAATTAAATAACATTTCTGTGAACTGATATTTGTTTAGTGAGTTTATTAGAGAATGTTCCCTGAAAGATTGTAAAATGTCAATGAAGATGTCAGACTTAATTTGTTAATAATTACATACAATACATGGAATTTGTGTGCGTGTGTGTGTTCCAAGTGAATCTGCAGCCCCCTGGTGGCCAGTACATAAATGATGTGGCCCCCACTACCATCCAAGTTGCCCAACTCTGGTGTAAATCAAAGAGGAGACGACAAAGAGTTAATAAACATATTTATTTTTCTCAATTTTACCCCTGGGTTATTTTATCATTTAATAACTTTCCTCACTCCTACGGTTTGAGGAAAGGTCACACTCATGCCCCTTTCACACCAACGAGTTTTCAGCGCCAGCTCGGTTTTTCCTGTTCACACCGCAGCGGCGCCGCCTCTTAGCTCCGGAATGCGGTTCACTTCCAGCTCCAAAAAATTGTCGGTCTAGAAGCAAGACTCCGGAGCTAAGAGGCGGCGTTGCTTACGTCTCTCTTACGTAGAGGCGTGCAGGAAACTAAACCCACCTCCCCTGAACATGGGTCGACTGAAGAGTCTCGTCATGCCTGCCTACAAGCAGTAGCGCTGAGCAAAGTGACTAGAAGGCAACCACACACTTATAAAAAAACCCACTTTATAAAGTCAGGCAACACTAACCAGGCTTCGTGTGATTCTGTTTATTTGTACCTTACTTTGACCATCCGTTCACTGTTATTGATCATTGTGGAGAGCAGGCAGACGTTTTGTTTGTTATTATAGCAGCTATCGGATGGAATCAATACATGGGCTGCACAGGTTGTCATGTCCGACTATCACAAGTAGAATCATAATGAAAAATACGCCGGTAAAATGTGCCTGTAGAAAACGGCTTAGCAAGTAGTCAGTTTAGCTTCGGTTGCTATGCTAACATCACCCATGTTATACCAGAGAAACTTTCATAACAGCGTTGTGATGCCAAACAGCGTCAATTCAGACTGACTCACATTCACTTAAGGGGAACTGGGGATATGTATCAGCTGCTTGTGTGACAGTCAGACAGTGAATACTTTAGAGCCGTGTGAGCTAACCCGGAGCTAACGGGAGAATACACTCCCGTGGAAGAGCAGCCAGCACTGCAGCGGTCGGTAAATGCCGCTGAAACACATTAATAAACAATGAACCACGGCACTCTGGAGAAAAGTATAAGGTTGGAGAAGTCGTTATTTAATTTAATCTGGCTTCGTATGATTAAAAGCAACACGATCATCGACCCAACGCAGTCCCCCGTTGTTGTTGTTGTTGTGAGCTCCGTTGGGGAGAAAATCAGCGATGTAAACGGTGACGTCATGACGCAGCAGCGGCAGCTCTGGGCGGTGTGAACAGAGCGGGAGCAGAAAAGGGAAACTGGAGCTGAACCAGAAAAGCTCTAGCTAGGAGCTAGAAAGGGAAAAGCTCTGGTGTGAAAGCCGCATCAGAGTTCCTGATAAGTGCTTCTGTCTTCAGGATTGAAGCTCAAGACTTAACTTACCGGACATGGACAAGATCATATTTCTACTTTACCCTCATAAAAAAGTGAGTCATTGCCAAAAGTAGTTCAACAGTATTGGTTATGTAATAAAGGTAGTATTATTTTTAATCATTTTATCATAAATTCATAAATTATGCTAATTGGTCAGCTGTAAATACAAATATTAAAAGGGGACCTATCGTGCAAAATGCACTTTTTGATGTCTTTTATACATAAATATGTGTCCCCTCCCCGGTGTGTCAGGGAACACAAGCAGCGTCAGAAAATACAACCCTCTCTCTTGTCCTCCATACCCAAATCTCTAAAAACTGAGGTACAATGGAGCTGATCCAGATTTGCGTCCGATATGACGTAATATCGGCAATGCGGACCCACGGCACTATCAGAAAGTTGCTATCAGAAACAATGCCCGACTGTTTTGGACGTAATATGGTCTTTGTTTACATTAGCAAGCATGCGTGTGCTGCCTTAAAAGGCATTTCATAATGTTATCATTTGTTTGCAGTTGATAAAGGCATCACTAGGAGTGCTAATGGTCATGTTATCTTTATGTTGGTTGTTATTAGCGACACTTCCGGTCTACAGTATCATCACATCCGGTTTCAGCGGTAGAGAAACAGCATGGTCAGAGAGTGTAATTCTCTAAATGTAATTTGCTTCCATCCACAAGGAACATCCTAGAGGCAATGCTGTAAGTTTGTCTATTTGACATAACTCATGTTAAAGATCATTTATTAGGAATGATATTGTTAAAAAGATGTTTGATTAGTTTGTATAATAAAACGATTTATTTACAACTGTCATAAACACTGTAAAGAATGCAGGAAAGCTATTTAAGTTTGTATTGTGTTTATTTACAGTTTTTACCGCAATGTCTATGAAGAATTGTGACAGTAAACAGTCAAACTTTACTACGACTGTCTTCATTGGCTGCGGTTTAACTCAATGTTTGCATTAGAGTTCAACACACTGCATGAGAACACTACAGCATTGGATGTCTCCGAAGTGGTCACAATGGCAACAAGTAGCAAGTCATCCGCATCTAGTGCTAGGAGCATTAACACTTCATCATCATCCTCATGTTTTTTATAAATTTGTATATATCTGAGACCCATAATATATGTCTAAAAATAGCATAATAGGAGCACTTTAAGAGCCAGTTTCAAACTACTAAAATTATCATTTCTGTCAATGAGGCCAAGCTTACACAGAATCCATGTCTCTCACTACACATTAAACCTGTGCAGTTGTTAAGGTGGACCATCGTAGTACACGCAGCAGAGTCCCCGTTAGCCGGTAATTACCGGACTATGACCGGTAAAATATGCTGAAGACCGGCAAATCTAAATCTCTCCGGTCAAAATGTCCGGTCAAAATAATTTCCCCTTAGCGCAATACCGCATCAGTTGCGCCACTTATGTGACAGACAAGAATAGTATGTGACAGACAAAAGAGTATGTGACAGACAAGAATAGTCCATTCTAATGTCTAACCTTTATATATACAGTCTATGTGTCTAACACTTAATGTGGAGAAAGAGATGTCCTGTATGGGTTGATTGTGCGTTGATCTGTTGGTAATGCCTCGGGGTTCCGGTGGGCATGTAAACAAATGCATAATGCTGCGCTATACTTTGTGGCCTCACCCGGTTGCATAGCGACACTTATTGTTTAGGTGTCTTTTAATAAGCAGGTAGTCATATCATTAGCTAGAACTAGCTGGATCTGATCGATATGCACATAAACGCGAGTAAAGTCTAATCTGACGGGAGGGAGAGATCAGCTGCTGCTGACGAGTCGACACGCTGCTCTGCATGATCCCCTGCAGCGGTGAGCTGAGCAAAACACACTTCAGGTTAGAACATCACACGTAGCTATTTTAATTACCTCTCAAACTACCAAAACTAGTTATAGATATGTTTAGTTTACTGTCGGGTCACTCATTACTGGATCCGGGAGCTGCATGATACTGACGGGCTGTCAGGAGAAGGAGAGAGCGCTCCGTTATTCCCGTGTGTAAATTACTGTACACTTTTGGAATAATGTAGTTAATCTACTATAATTAGTTTGTTTAATATCGAATCATATCAATTAGTTTTAAAGCTCAATAAATAACAAAGAAGACCTTTGACCGGCACTTTTCTAATTTTATCCGGAAGATTTCAACTTTAACGGACATTTTGACCGGCAAAAAAAGATTCTAACGGGAACTCTGACACGCAGCACAAGCCTATCTTTTAAATAGTTCCCAGTGAGGAGCGACGAGGAAAAAGGCTTTTTCCTGAGTTGGCACCCCTGTTCATTTTTTGTTACATAGATAATAATATAGCAACATTTTGTTGGTTTCATCTTGGGTTTAAAAGAAGATCAAATGTCACAATTTCTAAAGAAACCACCATCCTCATGTTTTCACTTGATCGCTCATGCATTTAATTACATTTGACCAAATTCACAATGAGCACGTTCATGGCTATTTGATGTTGGAGAGGCTCATGCCATACCAAAGGATTAACTTCCCCATGCCAGCACTTTAGAATAACACAGAGGATCTCACCAATCTTTATAATGTCGTCGAAGGCCTGATCGTCTTCATCCTCCGAGTGCTCCTCTTCTGGCTTCAGCTCAGGGTCAGCCTGCTGCAGGATGATGGGACACACCAGGTCGCGACTGTTTCTCTCCGGAGGGTTCGTTCTCGGCCTGGGGGGTCAGAGGAAAAGTATGAATGAATGTGATTGGGTGAATGGAATAAAAAGTGAATGGAATACAAATATATCAGCCAAACGTGTTTACTAAGTATCATTTCTGTGAAAATATGCCAAAGTTTGAAGTCCGACCCAGACACATTTCTAGGAATAAAAAAAAAAAAGTTTGGTTCTGAACTCTGAAGAGGGACCACATGACTCCCTCTCTAAGACATTCTAGATTTCAGCCCATGGTAAAGCAGCATATCTTATCATTTATGAAATCACTACTGCCCACCCTTCAAACACACACTTAAGATAAGATAAGATAAGATGGACCTTTATTAATCCCCGTGGGGAAATTCAGTTGTACAAAGCAGCAACAGGGTAAGCGTGAAAAAACAAGACAGCAAAGATGCACACAGATTAATAAAATCAAAAATAAAGTCAAGAGAAAAAAGAAATTAAAATAATAATGATAATAATAATAAAAGACTATGAAATAGGAGATGAGTAAAAATAAGAGTAAAATAACTGTCAGCATTCTCCCCATCAGGAACCTCCAGGTGTGTTTCTGCGCGGCACACAACACGGTGCATGGCTGAATTACAAAAAGCAGAAACAGCAACATTTTTGGTACCAAACTAATGTCACAGAGTTGATGTGTAGAGCAGGGAAAACCTGGTTCTGATGTTTTACACAGCCCCCCCCCCACACACAGAGCAGCAGGTGTTTACACACCGGTGTGTGATGTGGAGGTCTCCGTCCTCATCCAGGAATGGTTCCCCACCGACTTCCCCCCCATCCTCTCCATCTTGACTTTGAGAGACTTTTTCGTCCTCTTTCTTTGGTTCGTGGCCCACCCCTGCCTCCGGTACACCTTTCTCTGGGTCATTGTCGTCAGGTCCTTCACCAACTGACAGGATCTTGAATTTAGAAATGAAGACTGGATGAATGAACAAAACAAAGTTAAAAATGAGTGGAAATACTGACACACACACACACCATCTTTGGGGGGATGCCGCAATAGGAATTGTATATAAACTTAACACAAAAATAAAGGAAATCTGTGTTTGGTAGATTATTTCTTTGTTGCATCAACGCTTCTTGGCAACAAATCTTATACCGTTGGAAAGCCTGTTTATTTACCTTTCAAATGGTGCCACATTTGTGAGGAACATGCATTTGTGGGATGAGCAGCAGAGCTGAGTATGTGGGTTGCGCCTATGAAAAATGTGGCAAAACTCCGAACAGCTTTTTTTTTCACTGTTGACTCTTGTTTGGTGTTGTTTGGTGGATTGGATGATTGAAGTCTGATGAATCAAGACCTATTGGCAACCATTTATTTATGAACAATGTATAAGCAGCCTCAGTAGCGTGTGGAAGAACCATACACAGCCACAACAGCCTCTCCTCCTCATGCATGAAGAAGTCTCTGATAATCCTCACTCTGTGGGGGCGAGCGTTGTCATCTTGGAGGAGGAGTTTGATCCCAGACTGTTGAGATTCGGGGTTGCCACTGGTTGCAGAATGTTATCTCGATATCTCTCTGCATTGAGATTGCCCCCACACCATCACACTGCCTCCACCAAAATATGTTACTCTATCAGTGCAGCAATCAGCAAAGGTTCTCCATGTGTTCTCCACACTGTGACCCTACGATCCAAGTGCCGTAGGCAGAATCTGGACTCATGGCTGAACATAATGGTCCTCCACATGTTGAGGTTCCAATGCTCTGAACATAATGGTCCTCCACATGTTGAGGTTCCAATGCTCTGAACATAATGTTCCTCCACATGTTGAGTTCCAATGCTCTAAAACATAATGTTCCTCCACATGTTGAGGTTCCAGTGCTCTGAACATAATGTTTCCTCCACATGTTGAGGTTCCAGTGCTCTGAACATAATGTTCCTCCACATGTTGAGGTTCCAATGCTCTGAACATAATGGTCCTCCACATGTTGAGGTTCCAGTGCTCTGAACATAATGGTCCTCCACATGTTGAGGTTCCAATGCTCTGAACATAATGTTCCTCCACATGTTGAGGTTCCAGTGCTCTGAACATAATGTTCCTCCACATGTTGAGGTTCCAGTGCTCTGAACATAATGTTCCTCCACATGTTGAGGTTCCAATGCTCTGAACATAATGGTCCTCCACATGTTGAGGTTCCAGTCGTGGCAGGCCTCCTGGCAGCCGTACGAGACCGGAGAGTGGCTGCTGTTTGGCAGAGGAGATTTGTCACATTTTTCATGGGCGCAACCCACATACTCAGCTCTGCTGCTCATCCCACAAATGCATGTTCCTCACAAATGTGGCCCCATTTGAAAGGTAAGAAAACAGGCTTCCCAACAGTATAAGATGTATTGTCAAGAAGCATTGTTACAACAAAGAAATAATCTACCCAACACAAATGTCCTTACTTTTTGTGTTAAGTTTATTTAGATATTGTATTTTACACAATTCCTCAACGTCAGATAAAAGATTAAAAAAAATTCATTGCAATGACCTTGAGGTAATATAAGAAAGCCATTTCACCATCCTTTAACAGTTTGGTATATACATACAGAGGGGGTGGAATCTCATGCAGTAAAAGAAATTCTCATAATATTCTGTTAGGGATGTCCCGATTGAGTTCTTTTGTATTCTGAGTACTTTGACATTTGGTATCTGTCAAAAGTGAGTCGGATTGCTACATGAAAATTAAGAAGCATTCGATAAAGTTGATAGTCTTTAAATGATCCCATCCCTAGATGGTTTTCCCCTTTTTTCTTTTAAAGGTCCCCTATTATACTGTTTTTCATTCATAAATTATAGGTCTCAGATATATACAAAACATGTCTCTGAAGTGTTTGGCTGAAACACCAAACAGATCATTGCAGCATCCCTCTGTTTCAGCCCTGTTTCAAAAGTGCTGATTCTCTGTCTGTTACTTTAGATCAGGGGTGTCCATACAGAACAATGAAATGCTTGATACTTGAAAATGCCTCAAGAAAGAAACAGCCTACATCAAAGCTCTCCATAGCATTTCATTTATTCTGTTACAAACAGTGTTGCATCTCATCCCTTAAAGCAGAAGCCTCAGATTGCTTATAATAAGGGGAAATAGGAAGGGTCAAAGCCCTATAAAGAGAAAGCTGCGTCATCTCCGTTCACTCCAATGGACCATTTTTTTACAGCAATGGCGGATCGTGGAGCCTCTCAATAGTTCCCGGAAGTTAGCGGCAAAGACTAGCAGCGCAGTAGAGTTGCAGTAGAATAGACCGTTTGTGATGGACTTTGAAAGGTAAGACGTTTAAAGACTTATATTGCGGATATTATCAGCACATCTGAATCAAATTAACATGTGAATTAAAGCATGTTAGTGGATTATCCCCCTCTAAATGAGTACATTTAGGGAATGATAACAGATTAGGCTAGGATACCGGATAAAGTTAGCAACACCCGTTAACCATGATCATTTTTACTGGCCCCGTGCATCTCCTAATCGTTATAACCAGCCTGCTCTCGTCTATCCCACATGCTCCACTGAGATCCAACAGCTAGTTACAGGTGGCCTGTGGAACTGCCAGTCAGCTGTTCCTAAGGCTGACTTCATCTCTGGCTACGCTTCCCTTCAGTCTCTGGATTACCTTGCTCTCACTGAGACCTGGATTACCCCATCCAACACATCCACCCCAGCAGCTCTCTCCACAGCATCTTCCTTCACCCATACACCCAGACCCAGTGGCAGAGGAGGTGGCACTGGTCTCCTGCTCTCTCCCAAATGGAGCTTTTCCCTCTTCAAGCTACCTAACTTCCCTCCTTCCACCTTTGAATTCCATGCCGTCACAGTAACCCATCCTATACAATTAACCATTGTTGTTCTCTACCGTCCACCTGGCGTCTTGGGAGACTTCTTGGAGGAATTAGATAATCTCCTCTAACACATCCCTGAAACTGGCCCTCCCACTGTACTTCTCTGAGACTTCAACCTCCAGACAGGGAAGATATCTGAACTAACACCTCATTTAACCACCTTTGCTTTCTCACTGTCTCCATCCCCACCAACTCATAAAGCTGGCAATGTCCTTGATCTCATATTCTCAAAGAACTGCACTACTTCTAACCTCTCTGTAAACCCGCTTCACACATCCGATCACTTTTTCATTTCATTCTCTCTACCCCTTTCCAAACATAACAAACTAATCTCTTCTAACTCTGCACCTGTCCGCCGTAACCTTCGTTCCCTCTCCCCCTCTACTCTTACCTCATCGGTGCTCTCAGCCTCCCTTCCTCTGACTCGTTCCAACTCCTGCCCTCCAAACTCTGCTGCAGAAACTCTCCTCTCCACTCTTTCATCCTCTCTGGACTCTCTCTGTCCTCTCACATCTCGGCAGGCTCGTCAGTCCCCTCCTGCTCCCTGGCTAAATGACGCACTGCGTGCCAATAGAACCATCCTTCGGGCAGCTGAGCGGAAATGGTGGAAATGCAAACACCATGACGACCTCCTAACCTATCAGGCTCTCCTCTCCTCTTTCTCTGCTTCCATCTCTCAGGCAATGTGACGAAGGTAACTTCGTCACTGTGGACTGACGGCTTCGGGGCCTTGTAACTCAGCACTTTAGTGAACAGTTTGCACTTTATTAGCGTGATTGCACAGTACCGTTTGGCATGGCATATTTGCACATTTTATATAATTTATACTAATTATTGATTTAGTATTTATTAAAGGATTAAACCGTATTAATTGAAATGTCGTCAGGTGCTGGTCGGGTCCTCGGCTCCGCCTTGAAAAGATAGGGGAGTTACCGAGAGCGCCGAAAGTGTTTGCTGGTGTAGAATGACAGCGGTTAAGAATAATCAGGGTGCAAATAATATGTGAGGGTGTGGAAATCATAGCGTTAAGTGGCATTAATTGTACCAGTGCTGACTGTGTTTAGTTGGGTTTGTATGTGTGTTATTCTGTTCAGTTATATGTTTGTGTTTGAAAAGTGTTCCCCTCCCGTTTTGTCTGTTGCTCCTGATTATGTTCACCTGGTGCCCTGTGTTGTCTCCTCCCCCCTCACCTGTGTCTTGTTGATTAATTAGTGTGTGTGTATTTAGGCTCTGTTTTCCCTGTCAGCGGGCTGGTAGTGTGTGTGAGATCCTTGTGGTGGCTGGTGACTGTGTTCACGTGGGCAGCAGATTGAGGCTGTGTCATATGTTTATGATGTAATAAATGCCTACACCGGGTTGTATTTTGGACGTTCTGCCTCTGCCTCCTTGCTTGATCGGGCCGCTCACAGGCAAAAAGCACTTTCTTTCCAAAAAACTATTTTCCATCTTCTCCACCCTCCTGGACCCCCCCCAGAGCCCCTTCCCCCTCCTCCCTTCTTCCAAGCGACTTTGTTAACTACTTTGAAAAAAAGGTTGATGACATTCGCTCTTCTTTTTCTGACTCACCGCTGGGTCACCTGACCCACCGTTCACCCACACACTAACCTCCTTTTCCCCTCTCTCTCTCCAAGTGAGGTTCTTACCCTCATTACCTCTGCCCGGTGGTAGGACGCTACCACCTGTCCTCTGGACCCTATCCCCTCAAACCTCCTTCAGACTATCGCTCCTGATATTCTACCGTTTCTCACCCATCTCATCAATACTTCCCGTGTTAATTTTGGCAGCTGTTTTTGATTTAGTCTTTAGACGAAAATGGTTATTAGTTTTAGTCACATTTTAGTCATTCCTATCCTTCGTAGTTTTAGTCTAGTTTTAGTCGACGAAAACTCAAAACGTTTTAGTCAACTTTTAGTCGATGCAAAATTACATTTTAGTCAACTTTTAGTCAACATGTTTTCTCTCTTTAAACTAATTCAGTTAGGCAAATACAGGTTTCTGAAATTGTAATCAAGGTGACAGCATCAAGTGTTGAAATTCGTAAAGCAACATTTCATTCTCTTAACACTTTACTTGTGTAATATCTAGGGACCC